TGGTTCAGCCGACTGATGTTACTCCCTTGGCTGCTAGCAGCAGACTGCTGCTCCAGCCTGTGTGTGCTGGGTCCTAAAATGGCTGCCTTAATCAAGCATCGGCTGTCTGCCTGCCTCCAGCCCTTAAGGTGGCAAGCACCCAAAGGTGCACTGCCACAGTGGCCTAACTCATTCTTTAAATAAATAAGAGGGAAATGGATCTCTCCATTCATGGAAAATTTTAAGGGCTGGGCTAATGAAGAAAAAACAATTTGGCTCCTCTCTAACAACTTAGAGCCTGTCCTATACTCTGTAGGTACATTTGTGTTACTTGCTCAAAGAATAAGGGCCAAAATCATATTGAATTCCTTGTTTTTATTTTTTTTATTCTACTATTTCTTCATTTTATTTATTTTTATGTATCATATATGATATTTAATTTTACTTTTGTTTAAATTTGAAGAATGTGGAATTTTATTGTATGTTTTTACCAATAACCACAAATCATGTAATTATTATTACTATTACTAACAACAATAACAATAATAATAATAATATTTCTACTGTGTCATTTAAGTAAAAGCCATAAATAAACTACTACAACTTAAAGCCCCAGATGCTGGAATTAAACCATTAGGTGAGAATCAAATTTCTCCTGAAAAAAATGAAAGTACATTTCTATCCTTCATCTTTTTAGAGAAAAGGTCAAAATCATCAGTGCTCCAGCATTAAGAGGCAAGCAGGAAAGGCCCATATTTTTTAAATGAATTTTTAAGCCCATCTGACAATTTTTAGTTTGACTAATGGTTTTTGAATGCTCAGTGCTTGTGTTCTCCAAACCATTGGTTCTACCAGCTGGTGGTTTCAATGAAAAGTTGGTACCAGGAAACAGGACCCCAGTGGTGCTGAGAGCAGGAAAGTGAACAGAACAAATCCCTGCCCCAAACACTACTTTGGGTCCTCAAACCGCATTCCTTGCCCACATGAAGCCTCTCCTCAAGGCAGTGGGATTTTGTATACATAAGGAATACAGAATCTCCCCCAATCTGTGAGTGCATGCCCTGCTACATAGGAGGTGACTTTCATAGTCAGATTGTATTAAGGCTCAGAGCACCCAAATGCAAAACACTCTATCATATCCTAGGGTGGTCCTACAGCAAATGCAGGGGCCTGGCTCACATACACTCTGGCTAGTCCTCATACTGACTGCTTTGCTTTTAATTACAGCCTCCACAGGGTCTGTGACCCAAGTGTCTTCAGTGAACACTGACTCAGCAGGCTCCTCCTACTCCATTAGTGGAATTCTGGGAATTACATCCCCCAGTGCTGAAAGCAACAAACGCAAACGCGATGAAGGTAAACGAGGCTCTTTTGTCTTTGGTGGGTAGCACGTGGTGGAGTTGGATTTTTTTTTTGCTTTCTGCCTTACTTTAGATTAACATGGCTAACTACCTCTATGATGTTGTGTGGTATGACATGATTTTGGAACTCTTGGGATGATGGGCAGTATGTCTATCTTCAGCAAATTACTGATGCTGCACATCTAATGGGTTCACTCCTGCAGTTTTATAAGGTGTATTAGACAGTCGGGTAAATGGCTCATCAAATATTTCGACATTGTGGATTTTTTTTCTATCTTAACATATTCCCTAGGAAATTCCATTAACTACCCCTTCCCCAAGAGAAAGCTACTGTTTCTCAGTTAAAATGCATGCAGAGAAGAACAAAGCTGCTACGCTTTTGTCTTTCAGGTCATAGGGAAATGTATCATATCATACTATATTATTTAAGGGAGAAGAGCATGTGATTATTTCAATATGGGCTGTGTCATATTTGTATGTGCAAGGGACCATAGTTAACTGGATCTTTTCCTGACTTTTGAGAGCTCAATTTCACATGCTTCACATATTCTTCATGTATTTTTTGACATATGTCTCTCTCAGTATATATTGAGGGCAAGAGATCTCTATGTCTGTAGATCACTGATAACTAGATACACTGACTTGGTAACAATTGTCCACGGCTCTTGTCTTCAGTGTGGATTAGATGGTGAAGTGGCATGGGCTCTCTCTCTAGCACTGCATTCGGTATTCAGTGTGATTCATTACCTTTCTGTTCCCCTCACTCTTGACATTTTTTAGCAGATGTCACCAGTCTTTAACCCAGTAGGTTGCTTGCCTGATAGCAACAGGGGCAAACCAAATCCGACAATCTTTATTGGTTTATATAGCTGAAGGTGTCATTTTTTTTCCCTGTTGCAATACGGACTTGGAGCAGATGTGCCTTAGTAGGGGACCAGTTGCTTTTACTTACAGTTAAAGGACAGAGTGTTGGAGATTGACATAAGAAACAGACTGCACTATAACTAGAGTGTGGCTCACTAAAGAGAAGTGCAATCAGCTTTTTGAGTTTAAAGTAGCAGACACTGCTGGACAGCAACCTTGCTGTTTTGTTTGCACATTCACCAGTTTAATTCTTGTTGATTCACATTCAGATTTTCCTGGAGTTTAGTGCATAGCTTGAGTGTTGCATGTGGAGCAAATGAACTTATTTTATAGCCTTCTGATGAGTTTCATTCTGTTTAAGGATGAAGGGGCGGGATTGCTGGCAGGCAGTGTGAGACCTCAGTCTCGCTTATATCCCATCTTAAAGAAAGGCTTTACAAATGTCACTATTACTAGTAGGGTTGTTGGTTGTAGCTGCATTGGTCTAAGGACATAGGCAGACAAGGCTCTTTGAGCAGATCTTTTATTAGACCAACCTACAGCCCTACCCAACCAACTAAATAGTTGGAAAAATTGTTCTTTGCAAGCTTTTGGGCACAAGCATCCTTCTTCAGGCCTAAGGAGAATCTAGTTATTACTAGTAATTAATTGTTTTGCATTAAGGGCTTTAGACTTTAGAGTTTGCATTTAGAGTTTCCTTGGGAGACTTGCAAATGGTGGTTAGAAGATGTCAGATTGAGAGGAGGAGTTCACCAGTGCTGGATACTGTCAACACATTTCTTGGTGTTGTTGAGTGGTGCAGCATGATACTGTCCTTTGAGGCAGGACAAAGCTTCAAGAACAGAAGGGAAAAAGAAGAAATGTCTCAGAAAGGAATTTGTGTTGCTAAGTGAGCTTATCACCATGCAAGCAAATGAATATGGGCATTGGCTCTTCAGACAATGCATATAGGAGATGTGCTTGCATATTGCATACAGAGTGTGTTTGACTAGCATTCATGTATGCTGAACAAAGCATGTATGTGCAACATGTGTGCATGTAGTGTGCAGTATGTGTTTGTGCAGTGTTCCTTTATGCTGTGTGTGGCAGGTGTGTGTGCAGTGGTGGTGTGTGTGGAACTCATCAGGGCCACATTCCTGGAGTGCTCTGCAGGCTACAGATGACTAGACTTGAATAAGAAATTCAAGAATTTTGGAACAAGAAATTCAAATGGGAGCTGGGACTCTTTCCAGTCCAACCATGCAGCTCTTTGTGGGTCAGAAGGCTTTTAAATCATGTTTAAAAAAAAGAGATCCTCTTTTCTCTAGTACTTCTTTGCAGAAGGCAAGGATTGTAACATCCCCTTTCTCCCCCTGGCTGGAGTGGAGAGCGATCTGGGTGACACATTTGCCTAAAGAGGAGGCAGAAAATGCATCTCAGGAGGGGCACCACTACTCCCTCTACTGGCAGTTGGCTGGGAGCCCCAGAAACCCCTGAGCCAGGCTTCTGGTCTTACTGCTGTTTCCACTGTTTTCCCAGCTCAGTCATGGGAGAGGGGAAGTACTGGGGAGCACAGGAAAGAGTGCCTCTATTTCCCTTTTCCCTTAATCACTGTGAGTCACCTCCTGACAACAGTCCTTGGTTTTGACAGAAGAACCTGTAAGTGAAAATGGCTGTGCACAAAAATAGCTTATTCCCGTTGCATAGTGCACACAAAGCATACACATGTCCCTGCGCAAAGGCACATTTGATTTTGGGAACAGTTGAATGGTCCTGGGTGCTGAGCCTAGGAAAGTAGTTCCATTGTCCTTACCTGGGTGCAAGCTAACTTCTTTCTTAGGGAACTTGGCCTGAGCAAATTTTGCAGAATCAAGCCTGCAATTTACTGAGTCCCTTTAAGATGGTTTTAGCAGCAAAGAAGGCTGTAAGGAAAGGGTCGGTGAGAACAATATTAGCAAGTCCACAGGCAAGTCACTGGTGAACATGTGTTATGCTTCCCCCACTTTGTAGTCCACAGAGGACATACTGGTAAGTTGTTATAGTCCCCAGCTTCAGGGGCTTTGGTTCAGGCTATAGCAGGCAGTCCTTTCAGCTCCAGAGGTTCCTGGTCCCATCTCTGGCATAACATCCAAGAGGACAGCTGTCAGGGAAAGCCAGGGGAGAACCAAATCTCTTCTCACTGGCTCAAAGGTGTGGTCTCCATCAGGGCTGCATGAGTTTGCAAATAGCTATTGGAAGAGTCCAGTGGACTCTTGTCATAGGTGAAACCCCTCTGGGGGTAAAGCACTGGTCAGGGAAATGGAAATAAAATGCAAGACCTGTTCATTATATCTGTCCAGGAATCAGTTCAGTTGCTACCCATAGACTCTAGTGGGATTCTGATCAAATTCCCAGAAACATGCCATCCATGTGATCCAGCCCATGCCGATGTCAAGAGAGATTCTCCATGTGACCCTAGTGCAGTGGTCCTTAACCTTTTTAGATGCATTACACCCCTTGTTAGATCCAAGGCACTCCTTGGAAAATGCCAGCTCTTAGTTTTGACTTGTTTCTTGACTATGGAAAAATAAAAGAGCAATTCTTCTGTTGCAAAGAACTCAGAAAGACCACAGCAGGTCAGAATATTTTTGACACTATGGATTCCTACCTGAAATCTCTGGGTTTATCTTATGACTCACATGTAAGTGCTTGCACGCCTAAGAGTGCTAATATTGAGTAGCACCCTACATAACTTTTAGAAGGTTCTCATGCAGTATGTAACCAGCCCTAGCTGCAAAGGAGTGTCCTACCTGCCGCTGTCAGAGACACAATACAGGACTTAATGGATCCAACATAGTACTTCTTTTGTTCTTATGTTCTTAAGTCCAGATGCCTGCTAGGTAATCCTAGCAGTGCATGACTGGGGAGCAGTAGGCACACTTGAAAGTATCGGCACAGCATATTCATGGAGTAGTTTCAGAGAATGAACATATTCATAGGTAATGTGCCTATCCACAGACAGATGATACACAACAACAAACATTTATAGTTTCATAGTTTCATAGTTAGTAGGGTTGGAAGGGACCTGAGCAGATCATCAAGTCCGACCCCCTGCCATGGCAGGAAAGAGTACTGGGGTCAAACGACCCCAGCAAGGTGATTGTCAAGCCTTGTCTTAAAGATCCCCAGAGTAGGAGCCAGCATCACTTCGCTTGGAAGTTGGTTCCAGATCCTAGCCTCCCTGACCATGAAGTAGCGCCTCCTGAT